CCGCTATTCGCGCCGCTATAGCCCCGCTATTGGCCGCTATTTACAACACTGAGGAGAACTTATGTCAACTTAAGTTGACAAGAGCCCTTTGTCCACCAAACTTTATATCCACTCATATATATATATATATATATCTATATATATATATATATAAAAAGTCACTTCATATCATGCAAGGATCCCTAGGAAATATCTAATGGTTAAGAAGTTTGGTGGATGTCAACTTAAGTTGACATAAGCTCTCTCTCTCTCTCTCTCTCTCTCTCTCTCTCTTTCTATAAGTATCAATTGTGAAGATGTATGCAAGCAAATGTGGTTTTGATAAAAAATAGTTAAATGTGGTTAGTACCAATTTGGATATAAGTCAATGTGGTTTTGATGTAAAACCCCCTTTTTTTCTTCATCCAAGTAACATATTTGTTTAACTATACTTATTTTGGGGACCAGTCCCTATAAGGAACAATTCTGGTCTGAATAAGAAAAAAACAATCTGGCCCAGTTTTAGTGGGCACAATCTTGGCCTTGGAAATATTGGACCAAAGTTGAACCAAGTTTCTTTAGTTCAAATTCTGACCTATACACTAGTTTTATTTCAGCCTAGTTAAGCAAAAACTAGTTCAAACCAAATCCTATTTTGAAACCGCCAAACACAGGGTATCCAAATCAATTTTGTCCAAATCAATTTAACTCGGTAGGTTTGGTTCCAAATCGGGGATATCTTAGCTAGGCTCGGTCAAAATTTATTAAAATTCGTATACAACTATTCCTTCAAACCTTCAAGTGGAAATTCTGCAATTGAGCAAATGATTTCATAGGGAAATAATATCTAGAGCCTTGAATTTGGATATAAAATAAATATTGTCCAAATCAATTTAACTCGGTAGGTTTGGTTCCAAATCGGGGATATCTTAGCTAGGCTCGGTCAAAATTTATTAAAATTCGTATACAACTATTCCTTCAAACCTTCAAGTGGAAATTCTGCAATTGAGCAAATGATTTCATAGGGAAATAATATCTAGAGCCTTGAATTTGGATATAAAATAAATATT